ATATCAACACTGTTGATCCAGGTGAGATGAGATTCAGGAAGGAAAGGGTCCTTAGGATCTGGTGGTGAAAAGGGGAATTCTGGGGTCAGCCAGATGTTTTAGATCAAAACGACAATGGCTTGCTGCATCTACATTTACCCCAAGGCAGTATAGTGCAACTAGATGCCTGGCTTTCAACCTTAACCCCAATTTAGAATTACATTTTTTTTAATTAAAGTGCTTTGTACTTGTTATGTACGTTTTCTCAACAACAAGATAATGCATTAAATATCTAGCAGGGACTCTAGAAGCAATTCCTGCACCTGAATTCTCGGGTCCATAATTCTGATACTCCCATTATGGGGACGGGATCTAATGCTCATTGTCGGAGTTTTTCGAGATGTATTTTCCTGTGAATAAAATTCTATGGTGAGTTGGAGAAAATGCAACACCTGGGATTTCTTGTGGAAGAGCTCAGAAATAACAAGCTGGGGGTGAGTCATCTAACACTATCAACCCTGTTTTATCCATTGAACTTTAGTAAAGCACACATTTGGTGTTTGAGGCAGAGGACAGGTTTTAACAATAACCAGCCAAAAAATTGTAATTGAAGATCATTCAGGCTTGGTGTTTTGAGATAATTTAAACCTAACACCTGCTTATTGTACTCATCTCAACATTTCAGACCAAGGAAAGTCATGGAAAAACAGAAGCACTCAAAATCAGCTTAATGACATATAGCAGGAGAAAGGCGAACGTCACATCACTGTATTTGATTAAAAGTCTTCAAAAATCATGAATGGCAACAAAATCAATTTCCATGATAGAAAAGAGAAATCTATCTAACAATATACCCAACAGAGCATTGAAATGCCACTTTTACAAAGTGAATATGGTATAAGTGTAATTTTAACAAATACTTCAAATGGACCATAGCAACACTGCTTTAAAAACGAAATGGTGCTCAAATTGATATAAACTGATAACAGTTTTACAATCTGTCGTTCTATTATACTCAATGATTCACATAAAATCCATGAATGGTTGTAAGTTTTGTACATCAAAGAAAAACAGAATTTGTGTTGTTAATGTAGTGAAAAATATGTATATTCTA